ATCGCGATCGGACGGTTCAGATTAAAAGCGATGGACTGCCCAAATCAAAAGCGGATGTGTATAAATAACTCTATCGCACCCAAACCCAAACCTACCGCCAGAACCTCTCACCGGAGAAGACAGCCCAGCGGCCCAAGGAGCCAACCGCCACCGCACCAGAGCAATTTATGACCACCAAACGAGGTAAAAATTTCAACATTTACTCAGAATTTAATTTTAAACACATCCATAACCAAATTGGAGCAAAAAGACCGACCGATTGGTCGAAAAATGTCGAAAAAACCCGACAGCGCCGCCGCCGGGTATTTTGAAAAACGCCTCCAATGAGGCCCTTCTCGATTCCTGTTTGATGTAATTTTTTCACCGTTATGATCTCCGTTTCTTTCTCTACAAGTTGACTGGAGCAAAACACCAAACCGCAATGTGAGCCAGAGGAGCCGCCGCACCGGAGAACCCCGCCATCGATGAGTTTCAAGTTTCTACAGTTTTTTGACCAATCGAGGGCCCTAAGTGTATTTTCTCGCAGGAACTTATGCAAATTTGGCTGAATTCGATCTAAAAAGATCAAAAACAGCCAACCCGAGGAAGATCGCCATCGCCGGAGCATGGCGGAGCCGCCGTGCCGGATTTTTAAAATTGGCCGAGTAGGCCCCGAAACTGATTTTTGTGTTATTTGAGACATTTGTAGGTACTGTAAGTGCATTTCAGTTTCTGAAGAAAAATTCAGAACCGTCCATAAGCGCAGTAAACCATTTAGTTTTTCGGCATCAAATCAAGTAAGGACCCTTCACCCTATTTCCTATCATGGAATTGAAGTTTGAATAAATGATAATACGGTATTTTGTATAAATTAAATAGATGTGCATAATTAATTACGGATTGCTAATAGAGACCGAACCTAACATTATTTTCTGTTGATTGATTTTGTAGTATAAAAGCATGATGATTTCTGGTTTATCTATTTTATGGTTTAAATACATGTATTACTGTCTTACCTGACAACTGTTTGATTTTGGGATATAAGATATGATTGCATTACCGAATGCATGTTTATTTGTTTATGTAATTATGTTTGATTTGGTAACGGAGACTAAGGGAAAACAATAAATGAGTGTGATCTAATAAACAGATAAGATGACGGTCTCACTAGATATCCTGAGAGGTGGACGGACAGGGTTCATGAGGAGCCCTACCGTGAACATTGTCTCATACTGGATGTGGTATGAAGACTTGGTCATTTGGCGCTTATACCGAACGAGGTATAGAGACGGCCCACTTCACCCTCATACCGGACGGGGTATTGAAGTTTAATATCTTGGCACTCATACCGGACGAGGTATGAAAATGGCTCTGTAATTAAGATTATTAAGGAAAAGGGTTCACGTGTAGCAGAGACACCCCTATGGATCCCCATGGATACTAGTAGGCTGGTGAAATGAGAGATTGTTATAATTTAGTTTATTGTTAATGAATGTAAATTTGTGATATGTTCTATGTTGCTGATCATGCATGAAGTTGTGATCTGTATGATATTATTGCTTCTATAATTTGTTTTCATAAATTCTCCAATGATAAGTGAAGGGAAGATAGTTTTATTTATGATAAACGAATTTATTTAAATTTAGTGCTCCACTAGTTGTTTTAATTTTCTACCAACCCTTACTTCTATGCCGGTGATATAGTTTGATGTTTATACTGGGCTAGTGTAGCTCATCCTTTATTTAACCATTTCAGATCAAGAGAACCTGGTTCCCGAGCTCGATCTGCAAGAAGATTGCGAGTAGATGCTAGATACTTTATATTTTCTTTTACTTTTCTCATTTCTCGTGTTTCTTTCAGAGAATTCATTCTGCGATGTTTATTTAGTATTTTTAAATTATTGTGTAAGAGATGTAAACCTTAACCTTTTATTTCGTTTCCGTACTTAAATTGTTATATATTTTCTTTTGGATTTCCGAGATTGTTACAATAATATAAGAGCCACATATAAAGTCTCCTTTTTATTGGTAAGATTATATTTCTCCTAACCATCAATAACGAATTTAATCTATTCGAATAGCGAAAACTCTTCATCCCACCCAAGGGTATCTACATGATTTCAGATATAAAATATGTAGATAAAACACATATGGACCTTTTAGAATTCCAGAGTTTTTCATAATATCAATATTGCAAACAGATACTTGATTGTCCATATTTCTATGTACAGACTCCTTTTTTCTTTAAAAGATCCATGCACTGGTCGGGAAAATGACTTTCTAACTAGCAATCCCATAAATACTTACTTTAATATTTAAATTCTAATTCATCTACCTGTTAATAAAAATAAAAAAACTTATTAATAGATTTAACATCAATAAGGTTAACTCAAATCCATTTTAAGATAAAGACAATCTTTAAGTATATGGATGATGCTTTCACTTCTCTCCATGTACCTCGGACATTTGTTCACTATTGCTTATATCTCTTTTTTTTTAGATAACAGATATTTGAAGATAAGAAATCACATAAAATAAGAATATTTTATAGGACTTGAAACTTAAAGAGTTTTCAAATATTAAATGCGAATTATATACTAGTTTACTATAGAGATAAATTATTTTTTATTTGTATCATTCTTCCAATACACGGACAATTTTTTAATTCTTTTTTTAAGTTATATATAAATTATTGAGCTTAAGTTCGATTGTATGATTTTATTCTCAAAAACAAAAAAAAATTAATGATTATTTTTAATAAAATGAACATTGAATCTCAAAAGCATTCAATTTTTATACTTTTTCCAGTTTGGAATAAGAATAGCTATTAATAAATATCTTTTCTTTATCCCCAAAAAGATTAGATCTAATAATCATTTAACTTATCTCACAACTATAATTATTATTCTAGTGTTATAATTAAGTTACTGTGCTATTAAAAAATTAGACAAAAAAATTATAGGTTCATAAATAATTTATAAACAAAGTCTTCAAATCTCATTCTGAATCTTACTTTAAATGTTAGTCATTATGCATATAATTACAATGTAATATTTTATTTTTAGAAAAAAATTACAGAAATCATCCTCAAATTTATGAAATACACAGGCAACTCTATAACTTAAATTCTTAAACAGTATTATACATTAATACTTACTAACAGACTAACCACTTAGAATTGAAATCACAATCTTGTATTTTACTCTCAAACAATCATCGATGCAATTAAAATCACGAAATATTTGACATTTTATCAAACAGTTTCTGAGTACACTCAGTTAAACTTTTGATTATAGTATACAGGCGGCCAGAAGAGTTACAAACACATAATAACACAAGAAAGCATTTGTCAAAGAGGAAGACAACACAGACACCCATGTCCAAATTCCAGACTTAAGGTCTCTGTCTCTCTGGCATTTTATTGAACAATCTCCGAAGCAAACTCGGACCATCCATACAAGAATATCAGTTAGCTTAGTTTATACCATACAAAAAATTATAATTCAAAGCATATCATAGCCAATTAGTTTTAGTTAGTGTAGCATAAAACCTAGAAAACATATTCATAAAAATGTATGTGCTTTAAATAGTACAATCATTATCTGCCTTCAAGAACTGTAATAGTAATTTTGTTAGTAGAATTCATAGGAGAAGAGTTTGTGTTATTCAAGATTTGCCTTTCAGTGAATGCTGGCTGTTTCGGATTAGGAAGATCAACAATCTCGCTCTTGAGCATCGAGATAACAGTCGATACACTTGGCCGATCTTTCGCAAATTCTTGCACACACAACAATCCCACATGTACGCATCTCAGCATTTCTTCCTTAAACCTTGGTTCGAACATGACTGCATCGATGAATTCTACAATGTTTTCCTCTTTCCACAATTTCCATGCCTGAAAAGTGAAAATTGTAAGCATTTGTTGACCTTGAAATATAGAGCCTTATGTAAGTTTTGAATTAGATAGACTTACATAACTCAGAAGATTAAGAAACTGTTTATCACTATAGAAACTTGAGTTTCTCCTTCCACTTATAATCTCTAACAGTAAAACTCCAAAGCTAAATACATCTGATTTCTCGGAGAACTGACCTTCCATTGCATATTCGGGTGACATATAACCACTGCAGTTAAGAAAATCTATATATCTTGAGCTCAACTATGTTGGATTATAATTCTTACAATGTTAAAAAGCTACTTACTATGTTCCAACAACTCTTCTTGTATTAGCTTGATCTTCTTTGCCTCCAAAAATCCTTGCCATTCCGAAGTCTGAAATTTTTGGGTTTAGTTCCTCATCCAACAAGATGTTACTTGCCTTTAAATCTCGATGAATAATTCGTAATCTTGAGTCTCTGTGTAGGTAAAGGAGACCTCGACCAATTCCTTCGATAATATTAAGGCGCTTTCTCCAATTTAAACCTTTTCTCTCAGTTGGATCTAGATCAAGTTTATGTGAAAAAAGATTACAGAAAAGAGGTGATCAGTAGTTGTTCTGTAAAGTAAAAAGAAAATGGTGCTTGATGTTCAAGTGACCATAGAATAAGTTCCGATTTAATTTATTTATCACTGATGTTGATAAAAACTATATTGATCGGTACAACTAACCAAAGAGAATTGCATCCAAACTTCGGTTTGGCATGTACTCGTAGACTAAATCTTTTCTTCGCCTTCAACACAGCAGCCAAAAAGTCTAACAAGATTTCGATGTTGAAGTTTAGAAATCACTACAACTTCGTTCATAATTCTTCGAGTCCTTGTCCAGAATTACTCGAAAGTCTCTTCACTGCTACTTCTTGCCCATCTTGCAGCTTTCCCTGGAAAGAAAATCCGAGCCAAGAACACTATGAGTACTAAATAGTATGACATTATAATCCAACAACAATTTGAGTTTTAACTAACCTTGTATACTGGACCAAAACCACCCTGCCCAAGCTTGTTGGATGGACTAAAGTAGTTTGTTGCTGCTGCTAGTATCTCAAAATTGAACAATGGCAGCTCCTGAACTCTGATTTGATTCTTATTATACCCGAGCGAATCAATACTCAAAAGTTTTGATCTTCCCCCTATAATTAACAAATAACATTTCTTCATTTCTTCCATTTGAACAGTAAGAGTGAACAGTCTATCTTCAAACTAAACTGATAGAGATGCTGCAAAATTTACCTCTATGTTTAACCATCCATCTCCATAAGAAAAATGTGCAGATGGAAATGGCTACTGTTCCCAATATGGCTGCAGTAATGATAAGAGCTCCATAATCCTCCTTTTTGTCTGGAAATCAAAAGAAAAACAAATAAAAAGATAAGGTTTTTGGGTCTGACTTGGAAATAGTGGGTGATAAGATGATCATGGTTTCCATGATATGCTGCTTAGCTATTTGGAAAAATCTGAACTTTAGCCGATGGTATGTGGAAATGGTGGAGAGACTTTTCGGTGATGTTTAAGGAAGAAGCTGCAGCCATATTAAGCTGATAACTGAGGCTTAAAGTTGCATAGAAAAGGCAAAAACACAAAACAGCTAAGTGAACTACCTAGTTCTGAATGGTGGAGACGAATGTGAAGGTCTATGCCATCTGATAAGAGAATCTGTATATCAATTAAGGCTCCTGTCCATAACATACACCCGATGCCACTATCATATGCATAAGCTACACAGGAACAATTACTCAAACAATGGTCTTTACACTCATCCTCGAGCCTGAAAGACCATTGTACAAAGTCTGGAACTTTAACATTTTCCAGCTTCTCAAACCCATCTTCTTGGCTTGCTTTCCCACCATTGTTCCTATTGCACTGCAAGCTTTTCTTCCTAACACAACCACCTGTCCAGTTTCCTCTCTTCCACTCCTCTGGATTCTTCGGTTCAAACCCTTTCAAGCAGCTGCAGATTCTTTCTTTGTCACAGTATCCAAATTCTCCACACTTTCCATAAAGTTCACATTCAGTCCTTGGAGCCATCCAGACCTGCTCCCAGTTATTTTTCCCCTCTTCCCAAAATGTTTGTACCAAATTTCCCTCTGAGCTCAACACAAAGTTAGTTACCAAAGACGTATTCGAAAAAGTATATGATAAGTAAAAAGTCCCTTCTTCATCCACCAGTTTAAACCCATTTCCGTAACTAGAACTCATTTCAGGTACCCCGGTAAATATCTGGCCATTCCATGGACCACTTCGCCAAAATGGGCGAGACCCATTCCAAACGAAAAACTCAGGAGCACTAACAACATTTATCCCAGCAGAAAACATTCCATCAGATGGATCAGAATGACTTTTCCATGATGCAATCTTCATTTTCTCCCCGGTTCTCGGATTAGTACTAAGCTTCATCATTGATGTGGCTGTGTTCGATGGATGCTGGAAGCTCTCCCACAAGGTAATTCCACTTGAATCATCTTTGAGGACAAGGTTTCCAGTATCCAAAAGCTGAGCACTAGAATTCTTCACCGGATTGGAAATATTTGATGACCAAAGAATCTCATTCTTCCCATTCAGAATGACAAGATTTCCATCTTCTGATATCTTCATACTCCCGGAGGAATCTTGAAGAGGCTTATTTCGGTTAGCTACCCAGATGACAGTCCTTCCAGGAAGATCGTTATACCATATTCCCGCATACCGACAGGTCGAATTATCAGGACTGAAGAATCCAAGTCTGAAAGATCCTTGACTGGAGATTATAGATTCAGTGTCACTGATGAATTGAATTGGTGTAATGGTGTCAAAAGCAACACAGAATTTTATAAGAACACAATCTAACAAGCCGGATAGAAGGAATGAAATCAAGCTGCTTCTGGCATTCATGATCAGTTAATTGCTTGGTCTCTGGTAAGGGATTGACCTTGGGAATGAAGGCGGCTTGATATGGGAGTTGTAGTTGACTTGACTTCTACAGTTGTGACATAATTAATTAACATTAATAAATCACTAATACAAGACTAAAGTTAAATGATCTTCCAACAAAAAAGATAGATGTTTGAATGTAGCATACACAAATTATAATATTTCAAAGTCATGCCAGTTAATTGCTATTATATTTTTGAAGAACGAGAGTGTTTTTGAATTTTAATTTATATATATTTTTAATTAATAATACACACGATACAATAAAATATAATTTTCATATAAAATTTTATAAAAATACAACTCTGATTATAGTCATAATGATGCAGAATTCAATCATATATAACAATGTTAAATATTTTCGTTCTCATTCGTTTCCAGTATCATTTTGTTGCTATCCTTCTGTCTCTCTCGCTCTCCATGCTTATTGCAGTAACTCAAATTTGGAGTTGTTAGAAGATTTTTTTTTTTTTTTCTCGTAGAAGTTGATTTTGTTTCTTTTCCGGTTTGCTCTATCTTATTGAGTGATTGAGTTTATGATATGAAGAATAATCTATTAGAGGATATAAATGAGTTTTTAAGTTGAAATTTAGGGTTATTACTTGTTCCAATTTAAAGTCTGAAGTTAATTGATCTTCTCTAAACAATTCTTGGTTTGTGCGGCAATAATCCATCTTTGATTACCTAGCTAAGTTAATCAGGAGATGGATAACGTTGCGCGTTTTTGGCTGTAAATAGGAATCTCGATTTGGTGTCATTTCTATATGAAGGTTGGGAATAAAAATGGGATGTCTGTGGGTTTGGTATGCACTCCCGCGCTTAAGGAAGTCCTCTACGAACGGAAGGTAAATTAGAAGAAACAAAGCTGCTCGCAAATGGTTCCTTCTAGTGGCATCAGGTTCCTTCACTGGATGGCTTGTCACGCTTTCTCTTTGCGTCTTATTGAAGATTCCAGAAATTTAGTAATGTTCTTTCTTTTTCTTCTACACACACACACACACACACACATTTATATGGGGTTTAGGCGCTTGTTTAATATTTTTGTTGTACAATTGTATTTACTTGGTTTTTTTTTCTTGTTGTTCACTTGAGTTCAGCTATATAGAGCAGTAACTGGAAGGAGCTTGCGGGGATTTAGCACTGGGTTTTGCAGCAGCTCGCGCAGAGTTTCTGGGAGTTACGAACCAAAAAATGGTGAAGTTATTTATGATTCCTAGTTGTGGTTCCCATTTTCTTTTGTCTTTTTGGCTTGAGAAAATGAAGAAAAAGGAAAGAGTATTATAATTAACTTTTCTGTTCTATTGTTGGTGAAGTGGATTTTTAAAATTGAAAATTTATCTGATTGTTTAATCTGTCTGCATTTGATACTACTAGCATAGGATAAACTTTCTTTAGTTTTGTGTTGAAATGCAGCTAACCATAGAAACTGGCTACCCTTATGGTTTTTTAGTGCAAATTCGGGTGTGACAAGGTCAATTCACTGTACTGGTATTTCTCATGTTCTTTTCCAACTTCTTGTTTCTTCAACTAAGTTCCCTTGTTATCATATGTTTTAACCATTTGTTTCAGCTTTCGCGTTGGCAAGGGATTATTATGATATACTTGGGGTTAGCAAAAATGCCAGTGAAGGTGAAATCAAGAAGGCCTATTATGGGGTGAGTTTATTACAGCATTTCCTTTTATCTCAACACATACCTTGTATCTGTGGAAATGCTTCGTTATAACCAGTGTCCCAGTTTGTGTTGATGTATTCAGCTAGGATTCTCTTTTATCTTTTTTTCTGCCTCTACTGCTTTTTGTTTCCTGATTTTCTTTTCTATATTTTTCTGCAGCTCGCAAAACAACTTCATCCGGATATGAATAAAAATGATCCTGAAGCTGAGAAGAAGTTTCAAGAAGTCTCAAAGGCATATGAGGTGATACTTTTTTTTTTGAAATAGTCATATGTGGTGATACAGCAGTTTGTGTTTGATAATTTCTTTTGTTCTTTTAGAGAACAAGAGAGAAACAAAAAAAAAGAAAATAGATTTGTTAGGATCAAAAGAATTTTTTCACATTGCCAATTTAATCTACAATTAAAATTTTGTATAAATCATCAGAAACTTTCGATCAGAAAATTGTTACAAACTTGCATTAAAATCATTATGCACAAAAGTTTTCAATTAAAATAGCACACTCCTAGTGTGGGTTTATCTAAATGTGTTTATAAGCTTGTTCTATGATTTATTTACTCTGTGTTGAAGGATTTTTGCTTCTTGTCCTGTAGGTCTTGAAGGATAAGGAGAAGCGTGAACTTTATGATCAGGTATGACAAATAGTTTACTTTAAGTCAACCAAGTCAACCAAATCTTGCATAATGGTCTATCTATTGGTTTCAAATCTGTTAGGCCCATTTCAAATCAATTTAAGGTCTTTAGTTTAACTTTACGAGAAAACTACGAACTGTACTTTCTGTGTTTAGCAAGTTTTTGGAGGCTCAAAAGCTATATCTAGTTGCTTTTATCTCTGTTCCTATCGGTTGTATTTTATTATATAATATAAAGTCATAGGAATTAGCAAAATATATAATCTATGGGTGGGTTGACGTCAAGGCCATGCATCTCTTGTTTGTGATCTATACTTATGCATGCTCCCTTTAATTCTCTATCTATTAGTCATATGGTGGAGAAGACCTACTTTTATCTTTTCTTTGTTTAGTTGTTTCTCTTTCCCTTGTTTGTTCGTTGATGTAATTTCCATATCAGTTGTGTTGAAATTTGGTTTTGTTCACAATCTTACAGGTTGGCCATGAAACATTTGAACAGAATGCCGGCAGTGGCTTCCCTAATGACTCAGGATTTGGTGCTGGATTTAATCCATTTGATATCTTCAGTAATCTAAATAATGATGTAATAGCTTCTTCTTTAGCATCGTATTGCGGATCTTATTTTATGTTATTATGCTATGGTTTATCTTTTCTTCTGTGCTTTATTGGTCATTTATTTGTGGGAAAAAAATGATAGGAAAAATCATGCTAGAAGATGTATGTTAAGTCAATATGTTAAGTCATGCAAAACTTCTTCAGTTGCTCTAAGATTCGAAAGCTTGAAGTTGTTCTAAAAAAAGTTCAGTATAGCAAGGAAAAATGATTTGTTGAAAATGTGTCAGAAGTTTGTTTACTAATAGAAGATACCGAGAATTGCTGAGTTCATGGTATAGTTAGTTGTAATGCCTTTGAGCTGAGGCAAAAATGCATGATTTTTTCCCTTTTCTTTCCTGTAAATGAAAGGTTAACAAACAATAGAAGTTAGTTAGTATGCTTATTGCTTCTCCTTTCAAAAAAAACTATCAGCTATACTTTCCTCTGGAATTATTAGAACCACACAGATACAGATGCAGCCTCTTCTTTAAACACCTCTTGTCCCCAAACCGTAGGAGAAAGAAAAAACTTCTTTATGATGGAAAAGTTGGGAGATAAACTAAGAGTGATTTATCAAGAACAGAGTTCTCGTTTGATAACAATCCACAGGGGGCATGGAATCTAATCGGAGACAAAGTCAATATCTATTCGTATTTCTCCTTTCGTGGTCATGTCATTTTTTCCGCTTTTTATAAAGAACACTGGAATGTTGTCCGTTTGGAGACGGAGGTGCAGAGATGGTAAGAAATCTTTTTTTCTTCCCTTCTTGTGTAAGAGCTCTTAACATATCACAATGTGACAGACATATCTTATTGTGATTTTCTTGATAGAAAATTATGAGTTGCTCTAGTGCTGCTTTTGCATCTTGTTTTCTGCACTGGAGTCTAGTTTGACAACAATACTCTCAATTTAATAGGATGCATGGGCCATTTATGCTTTTGGGAACGTTAATCTTGTTTTGAAGTCTAATGAGTTGCTTTCCTGTCCATGATGTTGCTCAGATCTTCAATATGTTCAGGCGTGATATTGGCGGCCAGGATGTAAAGGTCATCATCAATTTCTTACCATCTGTACGTTCTTTTAGTTTAGAGATGATTTTACCTCTATTTTTTTGGTTATGTAGGTTTTGATTGAGTTATCGTTCATGGAAGCTGTTCAAGGATGCAACAAAACTATTTCATTTCAAACAGAGGTGCCTTGTCAAGCTTGTGGTAAGGATGTTATTTTAATGGTAGAACCTTTTAGGCTTTTCTTTCCATCTTCTTTACCAATTTTAATATTAAATTGATGGGGTTGAACTTGTTCTGGTATATGACTAAATGATCTTTTATTTTTAGAACTTTAATGTGTTTATTGTTCTTTCTTTTCTGCAGGCGGGCAGGGGATCCCACCTGGTGCCAAACGCGAGCAATGCTGGAACTGCAATGGCCTTGGGATGGTCAGTATTCTTGTTTATGTTTGTACTAATATAATTATAACAATACGCACATGCTGAAACATGCGCAGTTTTGTGTGTGTGTGTGTGTGTGTGTGTTGTAGAAATTAAATAGGATAGTATGCTCGGCTTCTCTTTGGGTTGCTATTTTGTCATGCTGCAAGAGTATTGGGTTACATAGTATTGAATCAATAAATCCAGATATGCTTCTCGTCTATTTAGTTTTTTCTTCTTTCGGATGAGAAACAACTATTTATTGAAAAAGAAAAAATTAGTTACATAGTATTAGCTAACAAAAGATTTAACTCTTTGGAATAATATATTAAACTCTTTTATATATTATTATTTGTTATCACCTTAGACTGCCACTTGTAATCATTCTCTTTAGAGGCTTTCTTTTCTCTAGTTACTTAGTGTTGATTAGTAAAGACATGACTCTTTCTGATAATACATGCAAAAAAAATTATCTTTTAAATACTGTTATTATTTGTTATCGTCTTAAAATGCACTTATCATCATTTTATTTACAGGTATTTTTTTCTCTACATGGATGTAGATATGTTTCTTTTTCTACCAATGTACGCATATGCACAAATTGGCTTATTATTGAACTGTGCAAATAATTTGTACTCATTATCATATGTTGCAGACAACCATGAAAAGAGGCATGTTTAGTTTTCAGAGCACGTGTCATAAGTGCGGTGGAACTGGTCAAGTTGTATCAGTATGTTATGCATCTAAATTTCTGCCTATTATCAGCTTATCGCATCAACATTCATTTTTTTCTCAAGCTTAGAGTATGACCTTAATTAGTGCCTTTGTCAACTATTTTTTTCTTTCCTTCTCCTTTCCTTTCTATCTCTCTCTCGTATATTTTCCGCCACAGAATCTATTATCATTTGGTGGATAGTATTCATTATTTGTCTTGTTGGTTGGAGACACGTTGCTGTCTCTTGTGCTTGTAGCTTTTGTATTTACAGCCTTTCTATTGTGTGTCTAAGGTGTTCCGTTCTCTAATTAAACCCAATGGGAAATGAAAATGCATTTCTAGAGATTTTAAGAACTTTAGTAAGAAATATATTATGATTATTGTATTAATGCTATAGATGATAAAGTTTTTGCATATAGGGCCAGCCACCTGTTTTGCATGCATGTTCATTCACACGCATGCACTTATTGCTTCATCTTTTTCCATGAGAAAAAAATAGAATGTTTGAACTGTTTTGGGGATAAGTTCAGAAACGTGATTCTGGTCAGTAGTTATAAACCTTTCTGTTATTTTCTAATGCTGAAGAAATGCTTCTGTCTTTTGGTGAGTAATTAGAAAAGCTGCAGTTTGGAAGTCACTGGTCTTACATTTTGGCACTTTATTTTATTTTTTATTGCCTTGATTTAAGTACAAGTCAAGTTTTGCAGAGCATTCTCCTCTTTTTACCTCTTATCTTACACCCTTTTCATTTTAGATGAAAGAACTTGGAGTTATTGTGTGATGGTGCAATTGTATAGTTTACTCACAAAGAAGCTTCCCTCTCCTTTAACAGTGATAGTGGTTGCCTCCTTATTCAGCTGCTTACTTCTAGGCCTGAAGAGCGTTTGGAGCTGTATTTATCATGTTTGTGAGACATGATTCTGGACAGATGTTTGCAAGTTTCTTAGCTTCATATTCCAGATTAGAACTTTAGGACTGAAATCAGACATATGTATTGTGAAACTTAAGATGCCCTTCCTGAAATTTTTTTGCATAGGTAGCCATGAATATTATCTAGTCAGTGATGTTTGTTTCAAACTCTGTTTTTTTTTTGGGATCAGAGCATCTGCATGTCGTGCAAGGGAGCTAAAGTAGTGAGAGGACAGAAGTCAGTTAAACTGGATATCAAACCAGGTTTGGTGATTGCACATTTTATCTTTGTGTATGTTATCACATTTGATTATGCTATGCCGTGACCTCATCTTGTTGCCCACCTGTCACATGTCCATGTCCAGTGCTCGTTTTCTTTTTGGTCTCATTTTGTTTCTATTTCTCTGTCCATGCTGTTTGTCACTCTACCGATTTTCAGTCTTTTAGGAATTGCTTCATGCTGTCTTGTTTTCATGGTTATTGCCATGCTACCATTTTAAATAGTCATTTGTCATCCTAAATGATTTATTTCAAAAAAAAAAAATTTGTCTTCCTAAATGATCCACTGCATCCTTTGAAGTGCTTTTATTTAGGGGATGGTTTATTCGAACTAATCCATTGGAGTAGAAATCTCTAGAAAAAGCTTCTTTATTTTTTCCTTTTATCCATTAGTACGAACTGTTGTTATTAGAAGGTAATTTTGAAACTAGAGCCACTTGTATTTAGTTCATCAGACTGAGCTATATCTCATCGTCAGGAATTGATAACAATGATACAATAAAGGTTAATAGATCTGGTGGAGCAGATCCTGGTGGAAGTCAACCTGGTGACCTATATATTACCATCAAGGTTACTTGATTATGTATATGTATTGATACAGCCCCTTTATTTTTCATATTCCTTTGAAATCATTTTCAAAATTTGAAACTTAATATTTACTGTTGAAGGTCCGTGAAGATCCCATCTTCCGTAGAGAAGGTGCTGACGTCCATGTAGATACTGTTTTGGGTTTCACTCAGGTAACCTAATCTTTGTATGATTATTATGGCTCAAGAAAGACATTGTGTCAGATTTGCATATCTTTGATCAGTTGCGTGTAATCCGGGATTTATAACTCTTCCCCAAATGTTTTGTTTTGTTACCTTAAATAAAAGAAAATTATTTTTATCTGGTTATTCTTTGTATCTTTTTAATTAGAGATATTGGTTCCATTTGTTATATCAAAATATTTTGTAACTTTCATTTTATAAGCATATGTTTATAGATAAAAACATCCATTGTAGAACGTGCATGTATGGCAACATATTTCTCGAGAACACTAAAAATATTTTTTTATTGTTTTCAAAATTGTCAAGTTTTTATTTTTATTTCCAATTAGTATTTTCATTTTCCACGATTACACATGGTTTAATTTTAAGCATATACGGGAATAGCTGTTAAGAAGGCATGAATGGTTATAGAAAATGAAAACTGAACAACAGTTTTTCATATCAAAGGAAGCCGTCCTATCTTGTTCCTATAATCTTTGCATCTGCACGTTGACTTCAATATGATTGATTATAGCAATGGTCAATATTCTTTACTGGAACTAATGGACACATATGTTCCCTGTGCAGGCAATTCTGGGTGGAACTGTCCAAGTTCCGACTCTCACTGGTGATGTTGTAGTAAAGGTTTTCTATAAATTTCATATATTTAATAAATTGGTTTATGGTTGGTATTTGTAGAGTAGTTTACTGAAATAATTTATTTTCCCTCTGCAGGTCACCCCTGGTACTCAACCAGGTCAGAAAGTAGTCCTCAGGAGTAAAGGTAAGTCGTCTGTTTCAGATAATATTTTTCTGTACAGTCATGTCATGTTCTTAGCTATAGATTTCTATTTCATGTGGTTTTTACAAAGTTGGTATTTAAATAAACTATATTTTCTTGCTTGAAAGAAAGAAATTATACATCTATCTTTATGTCTTTAACTAGAGAGATCCGTTGTGAAAAGACCGGTGGAAGTCAGGGACATGAACATGATTAGAGTTTGGAAGTTCAGTGCCTTCTCAGTTTCTGAAGATAGATTTTGGGTTATGACAATTTTTTCTGTGGTGCAACGCTTTGAGCGAATGAACTAAAGTAGAATGCTAATGAATTGGAAGATTGTTCTTGGTTTCCTAGAATTTCCTTCATTAAGATTTTGTTTGGAACAAATAAAAATTTTTTGTGAAATTCATTTGAAAATTTACATACAGTTTACCTAGAAGATAACAAAAATCTTGGAACAAATGAATTACTTCAATTGGAATTTATTTAGAAATGTATTATTATGCTTAATTATGAGATAACAAAAATTCTTTTTCAAAATAAAATGAGGTAATAAAAATTCTACTCCAGAAAATTCAAGTTGAGTTAAACTAATATATTCTAAATTTCTATAAATTTTGATGAAATTTGAAGTGCGTTGTCCCGGTCCATCTTGAATTTTATTTGGAGTTGAATTTAATCTTCCTATAGTTAAATTTTCATTATTTCATAGTGGAAGGAAGTACATATTTACATATAAATGCTACAAAAATAGCTCATTTATTCCAAACACATTCTCAATTGATTCTTAAGACATTGTAATGTCTCTCTGCTTGTACTCTGTCAGGTTCCTTTATTTTGGCAAATGGGTATGTTAGTCTTTGGTAGCGATAGCAATGAACACGCGACAACATGCCTTCTTATTGATTTAACTTCAAAGCATATCTTTATATCGTCTTATAGTAGGGCATGCTTTGCAAAGTAGGATTTGGGTGCACCAGTCACATTGAGCCCTATCTCAGCTATAATAATGTGAATGATATACTATAGATCTTCTTGGTTGTTTCTCTCTTATGCATCTTTTATGCTTGAATTTGAATAACTAGTGAACATAACACTTTTTACTATATGGACATTGACGTGTACCGAGAATATCTTCCTGTGAACTGACACACAATTTCATTTTCTATTTTCACCAACTAATGCAACTACGGGAAAATGGTAGGCAACTAAATAGGCTTAATTATGGTTGTTTTGATAGGGATTAGAGCAAGGAATGGCATGTCATTCGGGGATCAATATGTGCACTTCAGTGTCGGCATCCCTACGTACGTTTTCTCTTCTGAAATCTTGCTGAATGCACAGCCCATCTCTGCATCCATTGGGAAATCTTTACAATATTGTCTGTTGTTTCTCCTTGTTTTTTTTTTTTTTTTAAATCTGTTTCAGGAATCTGACACAGAGACAGCGAGAATTGATTGAAGAGTTCGCAAAAGAAGAGCAAGAAGAAACTGATAAGCATGCAGCTGCCGGATTATCTAAATAAACACCAAAGAAACCAAAATGGTTTAGAAGATGGATTAGGAAAAAAGAAGGAACAGAGAAGAGAAGCAGTTAGCTTCTGTAATGAGCATCTGCTTTGGAAATTTGGGGTGCAAAAATTGTTTTGGAACTTAAAAACTGTATTGGGTCTGGCGTAACATATATCGTAGCATTGCCAATCGACTCGCTTTCTAATAAATTTCTCTCGTTCTATTGTAAATTAACATTTATATTATTATCTGGGAGAAGATAAAATTGTTATATAATTTGATAAAATTAAGTTCATTTAAGATTTTTTTAGTTTGAATTTGAATAATATTTATTTATTTTTATTTCATATAAAATTTCCTACTTTCGGAATATAAGAGCAGGAGGGGAGGAAAATGGACTGCAATCTGAAATGCCGTTATTTAGGTAACAACAATAACACTTAATTTCTTCGTAAAGTTAATTTTTAGAAGTTAATTTTTATTCATCGTTTCGTTTTAAAATTTTTATATTAAAAAATTTTGGTTTCACAAAGGCAAATTTTATGAAATTTAATTTAAAAACAATAATTAGCTAACAAAAATATTTATTTATTTTTACTTAAATAAAAAGAACATATGATTTGGTAATATCATATTTTCGTTTTCTTTTACCTTATATATTATTCCCAACGCTCGTTCCTGCATCCTGTTTCTATTTTTTAAAAAATACGACCGTTACATCTTGTGCCCAACCCCAACGGCTAGTTTTCTACTTCTAAACGTTTCTGCTCCAGGGTATCATAGGTGGAGAAACCTAGAGATCAAGTCCAACAACAAAAAAGACGGATTCAATTCGATTAGGAATTCTCAGATCAATTTTATCAATGGCCGAGGTAGCACGCGAGAATCCGTGTTCCCCAACTCCACCGGCTCCGCCCCCTCCTACTCGGCGGCCAAGGGTGAGAGAAGTGAGTTCTAGGTTTATGTCTCCCGTCTCGTCTTCTTCATCTTCTTCTTCCTCCGCCGGTGATCTTCATCTGTTGGGCTCGAAGTCTCCTTTCCACAAACAGCAACAACAACAGCAGCAACTACACCGCTCAATTTCTGTCCAGAGGCAAAGACGGAGTTTAGAAATGGAATCGGACGAGAACAGGCTCAATGAAACGGCTCGGAGCTTGGATTCCCCCTTCCAATTAGCCACCCAGAAGAAAAATCAGCAGCGTGCCGGCGGTAAGACTCTCAAGGATAATACCGCCGGCAGAGCCTTGAGACCTGATACGCCTATGCTCAACAGTGTCGATCGAATGCCATTCTCAAGACTAAGAACCAACCACCGTGTCACTGCTACCCCCACCGCCGCTGCAAAATTACTGCAATCCAGTGGGATGTCAGCGTCGTCTGCTGCAATTCAAGACGGGAATCAAAGAAATAGTGGTAGTGATCTCAGCGCGGATATGTTGCCAATTGTTTCCAGTTCCAACTCGTTGAAATTCTCGGCTTCTCCTTTCTCTCGTTCTCTCAATTCTCCATTTTCTACTTGTGAACCTTCGCTCTTTCATCCCGTAAAACCTCTCAAGACTGATCTGCCTCCAGTTCCCCCTCCTGCAAAGTTGACCACAGATACAAGGAAGGCGAAGAAAATTTCTTCCCATCAAGAAGATGTGCATTCTCTAAAATTGCTCTACAATCATTACCTGCTGTGGAGATACGCCAATGCAAAGGCGGAGACTGCTATGTGCGCTCAAAAGCGTGATGCCCAGGTTAGTCAATGGCTATATTATGAACCAAAAGTTGAAGTAAAGGGTCTTCAGTTTTTAGTTGTTACTTTTTATTTGGGTACTGAGGATAATGATCCAATTGGTAAGGTGGTATTGTTTTGTCTTGAATCCATTTTAGTGAGGTTCTGTATATTGTTTTATGTTATTAGGCTGAGGAGAAAGAAAGTTGGATTGTAATTTGTAAAGTATGTTTATTAGGTTTAAGTATTAGTAGAACAGGAATTAAACTAAATGTGACCTTAACAATTATGGCTTGTGGCAAAAGGTTGGTCATAATAGTCGATAATTCGGTGAGCATAAGGGTACTAAGATTTAGCATGCTGGAGCATCAAATCTCTGCATCAGAATGGATCGATAAGAAATGTTAAGAGTTTGCTTGATACTAGTAATAATTTTGGAGATATGAAATTTATAATTGAAAAATAGAGTGAAAAGATTTTGTGAATTGTAAGCAGTTAAGTATATGATGGTTTTATAGTTATATTTGTTAAATTTATTTATTGGGGATTGATATGTTTTAAGATATAGAGACTGTGTAGAAAGTAATTGTGCTCTTCATTTCTTGACAAATACGAAGAAGGCATTTATTTGTATATCTAGGTTTGTTAGTAAGAATCTAGAGTCTTCCCTCTAGGTTTTTCCCTTTTCCACACCTTCCCACTATCTTCTAGATTATTCCTCCATCTTTTACACTTGTGCTACATCTTCTGTCATTTTTCTTTTATTATCTACGAGAATTTCCTTTTATCTTATAGGATCTTCTATCATTTTCTAGATTTTTCTAGAAAATTCTAAGTTTTTAATATTCTTATAGAATATTTTAGTATAACTCAAAGGGTCTTGTTAATTCAGTAGTTAATGGGCCTTTTTGCAACTCCAAGCATCTTCCACAATACTTGAACCTTTCTCACGATAATGCTCTTGGAAGATATCCATTACTTGTTCTTTAGTCTACCAATACTTGAGTTTGATGTTTTTCTTTGTAATTACTTCTCGTATGAAGTAATATTCTATCGCCATATACTTTGTTTGGTTGTGGAAATGCCTTTATGATTGCAACAATTGACTTGTTGTCACAATATATTTTATCGGCTCTTCTTGATATTCGCACATATTTTCAAATATTTTACTTAGCAACATTACTCGGCTTGTTGCACGAATTTAGCTTCTGGAGAGGATTGTGGTACTAAGTCTTTGGAAGTTGGTTTCAAGAGGGTCTACAAGACCAATTTAATCATCTACATAAGCTAAATAAAAGAACAATTAGAAAGAAATTCTTAAATACCTTATCTCTGTCAGTGACAATAGGACTCAGCATTCTATAGAGCTTGTAAACTTGATCTAAGAAGACTAGGACGATGGTTTGAGTAGTAAAAGGGTGTGACAGGGCTAAAAAGTGGTCATCCTTGGTGAACCGGTCTACCATGACCAGGATGGTGTCCTTGTCTTTTGACTTGAGAAAGTGCTCTATAGAATCCATTTTTACATCAGGCCAAACCTGCCTCGTAACCCTGAGTAAGCTTTACACTGTTTGCATACCTAACATTTTGTATCCGTTCTTCTACCTGCTACTTCATTTGACTTGAGAAAGTGGTCATCCTTGGTGAACCGGTCTACCATGACCAGGATGGTGTCCTTGTCTTTTGACTTGAGAAAGTGCTCTATAGAATCCATTTTTACATCAGGCCAAACCTGCCTCGTAACCCTGAGTAAGCTTTACACTGTTTCCATACCTAACATTTTGTATCCGTTCTTCTACCTGCTACTTCATTTTAGGCCAGTAGAATCCTTGCTTTAACTTGCTATAGGTGTCCCTTACTCCCGAATGCCCTCCTAAGGGTGACTTAAGATGGTGTTTTGGCAGCTTTTCCCCTTACTTGTGTTTTCTCCCCTACAAACAGGCGATCTTTATGCCTCAGTACTCCTTGCTAGCATGCACATGAGCATTGGGAAGAGAAACCAACATTAGTTATGAAGGAGGTTTTAGGCCATTTTTTCCCCTGGTATGATTGGTGAATCTCCTGCATTCAAATGGAAACAACTGCTGAGGCTACCATGTATAATTCTCCTCCTTTCATACACCTCTCTTTTGGACAAGATATCTGCTCTCTGTTTTCAATCCCTTTTTTTGTGCACAATCTTGTAGTTGAGTCAATTTCACCATCTCCTTGACTTGCACAAGGGTCTGGACTCATTGCTCTAAGAGGTGTTTAATGCTTTGTTGGTCAGCCTTAGTGATGAATACAACCCTTCAAGATAATGTCTCCGCTTGGTGACTGCCACGAGGATTGCAAGAAACTCTTTCTCATATGCGGATAGGCTTGATCCTTGGAGCTCAAGGATTTATTCAAGAATGTTATTGATCTCCCCACTTGTGATAGAATTGTCTCTATCCCTATGTTGCAAACGTCTACCTCCACCATAAAGGTCTGTAAAATTGGGCAGGGCGAGGACAGGGGTGCTGGTCATTGTTATTTTGAGTTCTTAGAAGTCCTCCTCGACTTATTCATTCCATTGGAAGGCATCACTCTTGAGTAATTCTGTCAAGGGTTGGCTGATGGTTCCATACTTCTTCACAAATTTCTTGTAATATCTGGTCAAGGCCGAAATCCCCTCAATCCCTTAACTATGGTTGCTCTCAGCCAGGTGACCATAGTTTCACTTTTCGAAGGGTTTGTCTTTACACCTTCTCCTGTGATGACATGCCCTAAGTATTCAACTTGTTTTCTCCGAAAGCAGCACTTGGATTTGTGTGCAAATAGCTTATGTTATTTCAGCATCTGAAATACTTTTTCTAGGTGTTCCTGGTGTTGTTCTATTGTCCTACTATAAATCAAAATGACATCAAAGAATACTAATACAAACCTTCTTATGTAAGGTTGGAAAATTTGATTCATCAAGGACTGAGATGTGGTTGGTGCATTTAGTCAAGTCAAATGGCCTTGAAATAGTCATTGTGTGCATGGAAGGCTGTCTTGCTGTCTTGCGCACGTCTTTGGAGCTCATCCTGATCTGTTTATAATCTGATGACAAGTCTATCTTTAAAAAAGATCGTGGCTTTATGTAATTCGTCCGGAAGGTGTCATCATCAATCACAGGCATGAGAAACTTATTTTTTACTGTAATTGAGTTTAACTGTGTGTAGTCAATGCATAACACCCAAGAGCCATCTTTCTTTTTAACTAAGAGCAGTGGAGAGGCAAATGGGCTGTGGCTGGGTTGAATGATGGACCTGTCCAGCATCTTGGCGACGACTTCTTAATTTTTGTCTTTTAAAGATAAGGGTGCCTATAAGGTCATGGGTGGTGCCTCTGCCATTAGAGGAATGGAATGGTCTTGCTCTCTTCTTGGTGGTAAGGAATTGGGTTCCTCAAAAATTCCTTGATATTTGCCGATTATAAGTAACAAATAACTCCTCGTTATCATTAACCACCTCCTAAACCTTTCCTGGCATTAGAGGAATGGAGTGGTCTTGCTCTCTTCTTGGTGGTAAGGAATTGGGGTTCCTCAAAAATTCCTTGGTATTTGCTGATTATAGGTAACAATAATTCCTCATTATCATTAACCCCCTCCTGAGCCTTTCTTGGTTGGGTTTTGTATTGAATGGAGTACATTAGTTGGGTTCCTAAAAAATTTCTCGGTATTTGCCGATTATAGGTAACAAAACTCCTCGTTATCATTAACTCCCTCCTGAGCCTTTCCTGGTTGGGTTTTGTATTGAATGGAGTATGTGTCTTCCCCTCCTTGTTGTGCCTTTAGGAGCCATCTTCCCCGTCCTTTACCTAGTGCCCTTTACCTAGTGCCCTTTACCTAGTGCCTGCGTCAGTAATCCTTCACCTTTTACTCCTTGAATGATCACTGGTTTTCCATCCTTTGTTAAGATAATTTGCATCTTTTTAAAGTTGAAGGACCCTGGGTTGTGTGTCTCTTCATTCAGTATGTTTCCCAAGATCATGCCATATAACCCCAGCTCCATCATCCTAAAGGTCCTCTTGAACTGTATTTTCTGCATTCTTCAGTGCAAAACAGAGGTCTGGTGTTGGCTGGTTAAGGCTTCCCTGTCGGCCACCAATACCTTGAGTGCTGGGAAAGGTATGTGTACTGCTGCTGTTCACAAGAATAAGGGCAAGTCTGGTGTCTATAGTTTCCCAGATCTTGGTTGTACTACCCTTTCCATTCATTCTGAAAATTTGCAATTAATTTTTTTTGTTACAGCAATTTCATTCTTTCACATGACTGATAAAATGAAAATGCCAAGGAGAACATTCACACAGTGGCACAGCAGCAGTACAAAAACTAATTTGGCTTAGATATCTGAGTGATTTGATGAGATTATGCTGTTGCTTTTGTTAATTGTTACTACTTCCTCTCTGCTTTCCTGTCTCTCTTTCTTATTTCATACTATTCTGGATCTTGTCTTCTATTTTTATCATTGTCTAATTTCCCTGCAGAGAGCACTTTACTCGCTTGGACTGAAGATGTCAGATTTACATGCTTCTGTTCAGAGGAAACGAATTGAACTTAGATCTTTACAGAGAACAATCACTTTATCAACAATACTTAAAGCTCAAGTAAGGCTATCTTATCTGCACGCCTGAAATTTAAACCTTTAAATTCTATAAGTTCTCTATTTGTACAATGTGCCATTTGAATATTTTTGGTTGCATTGGCCATATGGGTTTTCTTTCATTGTTAGTTGTAAGATAAAGTTATGCGAACACGTATAGATGCACTCGCTGGTTGTGTGAATTGATCTAACTTCCCTCTCTTGGCATATCACAAACTTAATTGAAGATCTTATTTTGCAATATAACATTTTTAAAAAAAAACTTATATAAGGCTTGCATCGTTGAGTATAGATGTGGTCTCTGGAAGACTGGTCCACGCTTGAAGGGGATTATTCACATTCTTTATCAGAAACAATTCAAGCTTTGTCGAATGTCTCAACTCGGCTCCCATTCAGTTCAAATATCAAGGTATTCTATTTGTAATATTGTTCTGAGCATGATGCTAGCCACCCTTGAGATGCTCCAATAAGGGATGATGCTTCTTTGCAGGTTGATATAGGAGATGTAGGGGAGGCACTAAATTCAGCAGTGAAGGTGATGGAAACAATTCTTTTACACATTCAAAACTTTGTGCCAAAGGTATGTCTTTTCTGAAACAAACCATTTTTCATGAGAAAGGAAAACAGACTTGCCATAGACATGTCTACCAAAGTTGAGCTTGAGCCTCCCACAATTTGGAAACTTGTCATTGATCAGTAGCCAAACAGCCAATCACTCGTTGACTTCATAAGAAAATTGCTTGTTAAATGCAGGCTGAAGAGTTAGAAAAATTGATTTCGGAACTTGCAAGGGTGATTGGGGGACAAAGAGTTGAGATCCAAGAATGTGGAGATCTATTATCTCAGACGTATGCTTTACAGGTTTGTCCTCAGAATTTGTGAAAATCTTTTGCAATGTTCATATTACAAGTATTCAGCTCAGTTGAAATAATCTTCTATGGCCTTTGCCTGTCATCACTCTGGTTGCTGTTTGGTCAGGTGGAAGAATGCAGCTTAAGGAGCCAGCTTATTCAATTTCATCGGAGCTGTCCAGACATTAAGCAATAATTAATTGCTATACTACATTCTTGATTGATATAAAATTTCATCTTCAAAATATTTCATGTGCAAAATAGTTCATTTCTTTTTTTCTTTTTGTTTCATTGGCCATGAAAATGATTTGATTTATTTGGATTAAGTTTGGAACAAGTGATATTTTTTTTTGTAAAATTCATTTAGTTGATGAAATCTAAAGTAAATACCACAAAATACATCCATTTATTCCAAATATAACTTACCTATAAGATTTCTCTCCATCTGAGAGAATCTGTAGTTCATAAATACAAATT